AAAAAAAAACGACAAAATTTCAAAAAAATGACATAGTTTCACTTTTTAAGGTCCAAGACAAAAACTTGATATTCATTTACACAATTTTTCCTAAATGAAAATCGTGTTAAAGCATTCATTTCGTACCCAAAATTTGTGCCAACTTAATACAACCAAGTTATGTAAAGCCATAAAACATCGACTATCAACATATTGAATGCAACCAAAATTTCATTAATAACCTAACAACTAAAAATGCAGAATGCCAAAATTTAAACACTATCATTGTTTGCTTGTCAGTTTTGTACATTCATGCATCATTGCCTCTTCAAATGCATCTTCATTTCTACCTCATCAATACATCACAAATCCATTTCCTTTGACACTCATTCATTGTCTTTGTTATAATTCTTATCTTGCTTCTTCTTGCCATAAACATACAATTGAGCAGCCAAGGTTCATCAGATTTGTAGAATGTTAAATGTCTTTGACATTTCATTCAACTTTTTATTGATGAAGTATTGTGCATACTTAATGACATAAATTCCACTATCTCCACTACAAATAAAAGAAAGAATTAAAATAATTAAAGAACTAAACATCAAATGAAACGAAATAATAAAGAATTAAAATAATTAAAGAACTAAACATCAAATGAAACGAAATAATATATCTTTAGAAAGCAATCTGACCCATTTCTTGTCGTAGAAGTTTGGAACCATGTTTACAACCAATAGTTTCACAACATCTCCTTTCGCAATGCCTTTGCCTTCAAAGAAGTCGATGTTGAAAAGAAGACGAGGAATTACAACTCACAACACATGCATGTTTCAGGAAAGTGACAGGAATTAAAAAAAAAAGTGATAAACACTAAATGAATTGACTAACAATAAAAATGTGACAGAAATTCAAAAAATGTGACAAACATTAAAAACATGACAGAAATTTTTTTAAAAGTGATAAAAAAAATTTTAAAAAGTGACCAATTCGTAAAAAAAAAAAAGTGACAAAAGCTCAAAAAGTGATAGAAATTAAAAAAAATTGACAAATATTCAAAAAAGTGACAGAATTTTTTTTTAAAAAAGGGACATAAATAGCATCATGATGATTTTCTCTTTGAATAATTAGTATCTATTTTACTTTGTTAAGACTTTTGATAGTAATTTAGAAATAGATGCAATTGTTAGCCTTTTTCTAAAGTGCATAAAATAGTACTCATGAGTCCCCATTTCTTTCATCTATTTAGGAAACGAGTAATAATAAATAAAGAACATTAAACTTTGTAATTTTACAATTAAAGGTATTTGAAATTTGCATAACCTCTTAACCAACATTCAAAAAGTGAGAAAAAATATTTTTTTTAAAAAAATGGTCTAAAAAAAAGCATCTTCTGATGTATAATGTTGTTCACTGGGTTTTTCATAATGAGCCAAAGCAATCGGGAGCATTTAAATCACACATTTAACTATTTGTGCTAAGATTTCTGTCTCCAAACTATCCAATTGAAAGAATGATTCATGTACAAACTTTTAGGGGCATCTCAAATACTCAAAATTCACTAAGGTTTAGATCAAATACTAACATGTGATTTTCCGGATCTTACATACCAAAAGTTCAAGCCTTCCATTCAGCATAACAAAAGCATGGAACTTGGACATATTATGACAATTAAAGAGATTAACCAACCAATTAACTAAGAATAAACAAGATACAAGAAAATTATCAGTCATATACAAATTACAGAATACAATAGTACCCAATTCTTGTTCCAAGTAAACTTGGGGTTAGTTACATAAATTCCTTTGTGTCAACACTCATTCAATCCAAAACTACCTCTTATGAAATGTCCGATGAAATCAGTCTTTTGCAACCACCTAACATAACATTAATTTGGTCTACCTATCCCTCTTTCTACATGTTTTGTTGGGCTAGCATAAAAGGGAGTGCATATTAAAATTCAGCAAAGTGAGATATTATCTCCAAATAAAGATACAAGGTATCGTGCATAACCTACAAACTAAGAGGTGCAATAACTTACATCGTCATCTACTCATTGAATGGAAGAACTTTGTGATTTCTATTTCTAGAAAGGTAATGCATTGGCATATCTCATCTGCAATATTTTTACTCAATAAAGAACTCGATGGTATAATCCATTTCCTTTCCATAACTGAGCACTTACTTTT